ATATTTTAAGGCACTAAGCGAACAAAAAATTATTTTAGGATACTGAACGTCATTAAAAAATACTTTAAAGTGTTGCATGTTAGATACTAGGTGTCATTAGAAACATATTTTAAAGTATTGATTGCACTAAAAATTAATTTAGAATACTAAATTATACTAAAAAGAAAAGTATTTTAGAATGGTAGTTTTTAAAAAAATTAAAAAAAAAAGTTCTCCCTTCTTTTCCCCAAAACGGTGTAGTCTTGGGGTAAAGAATGTCAGCTGGTGCTGAGAGAAAAGGAGGGAAGCCGCGTCCGTTTCCATGTTGATGTATCGGTGCTGTTGTCATGTAGTCATCTGCGCAGTTGCGAGTACTTTCCAAATTAATTTGGAATAGTTTAACTTAAATATTTTGATATATATATATTTAAATGATAAATATACCCACACACACATATATATATATAAAAGAAATGACAGTAAAAAATTATTTTTTAGATATTTGTTTTATTAAAATAAAAATTCACAATGCATATGAATAAAATAATATTAAAATCAAAGCTTAATATTAATGGAATTTTCTTATACTATTTATAAGCACATCCAACTCAGGATTTTGATCCTCTCCATGCATGTAGTTCGTACTAATCCCTTTCCATATTTCTCTTATTCATATTCAATTTCATCCAGTTTATATATTTGATTTAATGACGTGAGATTGCTAATTACACTATTTATTTAATTACTATAATCACATTCTAGGCGTGGAAACGGACAAAAGGTGGCGAAAGATGACAGAGAGATAGGAGAGGACAGAGCTGGTGTGAATAAGACAGGGGAACATGGCGGAGATAGAAAAAGAGAAAAAGGCAACAATAATTTGTGCACCACAGGGAAAGGCGGAAAGTTCAGGAACACACTTCAAGCATGCTCATCTTAATTTAGATTATTTATATTTTTTAACTGGATGATTTAATTTAGCTATATGTTTTATGTATTTTAAAGAACTTTTTATTTTAACAGATACAAAATTTAAAATAAAAATAATATTATAATTAATATTATTTCTTTGAAAATAAATTCATCAAGGAATATGATGAGGAAGAGCCTGAACCTTAGAACAGGAAAGGCAAATATCCATGTCTGAAGGTGACCACAAAGGAATATGCGGTGCGGTGCTATGCAAATCATATATGAATTTCCTGATTGTGAAACTTATAGGGAAGAGCTTATTCGGCCTGGTACGACGGAAACAGATGGGAAGGAAAGGGACGGAAAAAAGATTTTAATAAGCTTATTTTAAAAAAGTGAGATTAAAATTTTTTAATTAAATTTATTTTTGGGTTAATTAATCTGCAAGTCCTTATAGTTTCAACGAATTTTGAATCAGGTCCCTATAGTTTTTTTTTCTTTTTATTAGGTTCTTATACTTTTACCTTTTTTTAATTAGGTCCTTGTATTTATTTTTCTTTTAATTAAGCCCTTATAATTTTACTAAATTTTTAATCAGGTCCATGTAGTTTTAATTTTTATTTATTAATTAAATATAAGCTTAATTAAATAGATTAATACTGAAATATAAAATATTAATAATTAAATTAAATTAATAATTATGTAATAAAAAAAGTAATAGAATTAATTAATTCAGAAATTTTTTTTAGAAAAATTAATTTTTTTGCTGAAAAAATTAAAATCATTATAATAATTCAATATCTTTAGAATATTATTGTTTATAAACTAATATTAAATAATATATACTATTTTGTGTTTATATAATAGTACTATTAGAATTTATAAAATAAAGAATAAAAAATTCAGGGACTTAATTAAAAATAAGGTGAACTTATAAGCACTTGATAAAAAGAAAAATAAATACAAGGACCTAATTAAAAACAGGTGAAAGTATAAGGACCTGATAAAAAGAAAAAAAGCTATAAGGATCTGATTCAAAATTAGTGAAAACTATAAGGAGTTGTGGATTAATTATCCTTTTATTTTTTTATTTTGCATATTCTTTTTATCAAAATTTGAGAATCCCGCTGCGTAGTTTTTTTGAATCAAGCTTATTAAATTGTTTTTTCTCCTTCCATCCCTTCAATTCCCTTGTAGCAAACATAGGATTAGAGTGCGTTTGGAATTGTATTTGGAGGCCCAACTTTGCAAATCCATATGCAAAAACCGTTTTTTGGGTTTAAATGTTTTTGGAACAGAACTTTCGGGTCTAAATAGACTTTTGGAGTAAAGCTCCATTTTTGACTTTTCACCGGATGGTGCGGGTGCGAGCACTAAACAATAACAGAGTTGCTGTGTATTTTTCTCCATTTGCGGCAGGAAAAATATATGGGGAGAATTAGAGAGAAGGGCAATGTGGAGTGATATTGAGGAAAAAGAATTATAAAAACTAAAATTATTTAAAAGGAATAAATATTTAAATATAAATTTAAAAATATTATATCGTCCCTATCCAAACTCTTATGTTTTCTCCTACATTTTATTTTTAAAACTAATACAAATTAATAAAATTTAAATTAAACATGATTTCTTTCAAAGTTTACGGCCTCTGCAAAAATTAATTAAAAAAATGTAAACATTGTTTAGTCAAGTAAAAATTAAATTTTTATTTTCTAAATAAAAAAATAAAATTCTCTTTTTAAAACCGTCACAAATTTTAATTAAAAATAAAATTTGCGCAATTTTATTAAAATTTAGATTATTTTGGAATACGATTAAGTATTGTCTAATAAAGGCAATCATGATTATAATTTTTACGTAAAATTTATAAAATTATTTGAATTCTTTAAATTTCTTATCATTTTATTTTAAATCTGATATAAATTTCTTATAAAATAAAAAATGAATTATAGAATTTTTTTTAAAATTGTGTATCTAATAAATTAAGGCAGAATATAAATTTTAATAAAATTATATAACTTTAATTTTTAATTAAAACCTGTGATGCTTTTGAAAATTAAATTTTAAGTTTTTATAAAGAAAATAAAAATTTAATTTTCTACATCACTGAACAATGTTTGCATATTTTTTAATTGATTTTTACAGAGGTTGTTAATTTTAAGAGAAATCAGGTTTAATTTAGTAAAATGTATTAATTTCTCTCTAATTTTTGAATATATATATTTATCCATTAAATATATTTAATTAAGCATTAGTATTTTTCAATTTCTTCCTAATAAATTATTTTTTTATTTTTAATAAATTTTATGTTTAACATTTGCTTTACAATTGTCACATTATATACATATAATATATGTATTACTTAATAAAATTTATTCATTTTAAGTCATTTTGCATTTAAATTTATGTTTGGGAAAATGACATTAAGGTCCCATAGAACCAAATATGCAGCAAAAAGTTCCCCTGAAATCTCATAATATCTTTGAAGTCCCAAAGGGACTTGTGTGTAATTTTTAGAATAATGAAATGACTCTCTTGCCCTAGCTATCAGAAACAAAGATGGTGGGTGAGGAGTTTCTCGCGTTGGTTGAGAGAGAAGACGTTGGCAAAGAGGGAAGGAGCCATTGATTATGAAGTATCTTTTCCCTTACCATTAGTGAATTCCAAAAAGCTTCCATGTGAATCTCCACAAATCTTCAGATGTGGAACTTTCTTTCCTCTCCTCTCCTACATTTCTTGACAGATTGTGCATTTGTTTGGGAATAGGAAATCAGAAAATCATTTTTGCCTTTGGTACTTCAAAGCTTTTGTTTTTGATCTAGGATTCACAAGTTAATCAATGGAAAAGCTGTGTTTTTAGTTGATGTGTGTTGGTGATTTAAGTTGGGTGTGTAGGATGATCATGGGTGCTCTATTTTTGGATTGCTTGTAGGTGGTTTTGCTCTGTTCTAATGTTAGTTTAGTGGTAAAGGAAGAAAAAGATGAAGGTTAGTATGGGTAGAAACCCTTAGCATGAAATGGGATGTTATGTTGTCAATCAGGCCGTGATAGTTGTTAATGTGCCGCGATACTTGTCAATGTGGCTCTGTGACTTGTCAATGACAGTTGCGTGATTCTTGATGCAGGTTTAAATTACTGATGGTGAGTATATCTGGAAAGCATCTATTTTGCTTTGTTCACATAGGGGAAAGTTTATAGATGATGGAGAAGATGATATGAGATATGTGGGAGGTAGTGTAAGAACAATAAATAAAAAGGAGGGCACAAGTTATGAAGAATTGAAGGAGATTATATCATCAATTGCTAGAAAAGAAAGCAACTCATTTCTTTTGAAATTCTCAGTTGTGTTTGATAAAAAAACTTTTGTGGAATTGGTAGATGATGATGGGACAGAACATTTGATAAAGTTCAATGAAAAAAGTGGTCATGTGTATGTAGAAGAGAATGGAAATAAGGATCACATAGAAGCAACAAGAGATAATACAACGGAGGAGCAAGATGTGTAAGTTTAGTTTAACAAAACTGTTATTGTCATTTTTTGGTATGTCAGTTGTTACTGTCTTACTACCAACTTGTCAATACATGCACCCTGACTTGTTATTTCCTCCAGGATTGATCAATTATTTAGAGGTGTCAATGAATTGTCTATGTCTCCACCTATCTTATTTGATGTGATTGGAGAGCCACCATCAATTCCTTGTACTGTTGAAATGATCCCAACACCTACACCACAAATGAATTCCACAAAATGGATGGATTTGATTATTGGAGAATGACAAATATTTCCAAATGCCACTGCTCTTCGAAAAACATTATACAAGTATAGCTTATCTCAGAAGTTTTCATACCTTTTTATTGAGAATAATCAGCAAAAGATCATTGTGAAGTGCAAGGTTGATGGTTATCCATGGTATATGGGTGCATATTCAATGGGAGCACATCAAGATACTGAGTTTTTAACTATCAAAACATATAAAAGTGAACACATTCATCATGCACAGGACAACTTAATTGTTTCTCATTGAGGAAGGTCAAATTTAACTGCTTCAATTGTGATTGATGACTTGAGGTGCAATGTTGACAAGAGTCCTAATGAAATTAGAAAGGACATGTATAAAGAATATGGAGTGCAGTTGAACTATACTCAAGCATATAGGGTCAAGAAGAGAGCATTAATGGAATTACATGGTCGAGTAGAAGATTCTTATAAGGTAATTCCTGGGATGTGTGAGAGACTAATAGAAATTGATCCTGATATAATTGCAAGATGGGAAGGCTCAGATAGCAATCGATTTGAGAGGCTATTCATTGCATATGAATGCTCAATTAAAGGCTTTGTCCAAGGTTGCAGACCAATTGTTTATATAGATGGATGTCATTTGAGTGGTTCTTACAAAGGAACTTTATTATCAACTTGTGCATTTGATGTAGACAATGAGTTGTTTCCCTTAGCATATGGTATTGTTAGCAGAGAAACAAATGATGAATGGGCTTGGTTTCTACAGAATCTGAAGGAGATAACCAAATCAGCACAAGTGACGATTGTCTCAGATCAGAGTAATGCTATCATTGGTGCTATTAGGACAGTATTTGATGGTGAGAGACATGCTTTTTGCTATCGACATGTGAAAGAAAATTATAGTGCACAGTATGTGAAAATCAATAGAGATGTGAGACAAACCTCAGAAAATAACAAGGAGAATGCACTTAATTTACTTGATGAAATCACATATGCAAGGCATAACAATGAGTTTAATGTTGCAATGGGAAATTTAAGATTGTTTTGTCCATAATTGGCACAATGGGTTGAATCTCATGGGGATGTCGATAGATGGGCGCAAAGTAAATTTCCTTTTAAGAGATGAGATAACATTACCAATAATCTTGCTGAATCTTTTAATGCATGGATGTTGAAAGAAAGGAAGCATGCCTTGCCGATTTTGATACAAGAGCATCAAGAGAAGTTGGCCAAGAAGATGGTTGCTAGCAAAATAGGGATGACAAGCTGGAAAAATGGTGTAAGACCCAATATTGAATCAAAGTTGTCGAAACAAATAGCAAGAGGTGTGTATATGGAGGCAACATGTTATGGTGATGACCATATTTTGGCACAAACAATGTGTGAAGGACGCATCATCTATATGATTGTTGATCTTATTTCTCACAGATGCACATATTTGGCATGGCAAATGAGTGCAATACTTTGTCCACATGCGTGTGCAGTAATCAAACTAATTCATCATAGTGTATATGATTATGTAGATGACTGTTACAAATTGTCCACACAAGAGAAAATATATGCAAATAGCATGAGGCCAATTGCAACGCATGATTGCCCACAGCCTGATGCACCTATTGTGACTCATATGCTGACCTAAACATTTTTGCATCCACCGATAACAAAAAGACCTCTAGGAAGGCCAAGGATTAATAGGATAAAATCTCAGTTCCAAAATAAGAAGGTTTATCATTGTAGAAGATGCAAAGAGTTTGGACATACTGCCAAGACATGCAAGAACCCAAATCCCAGCTGAGAACATATTGAAGTCAGTTATTTTTTGTATATGGATATGAAAGGAATATTTTGTAAATGGGTGTGAAGGAATTTTTTTGTAAATGGATACATACCACTGGTTAGTTTTGTAATTACATGCAACCCCTATGTTTTTTTTTGATGGGTTGTGAAATAGGTATAATTTCATATATATAAAGGTGTAAATAAAAGTTGGCTATGAATTGGCATGTTAGATTTTGCTGTCATTTTAGTTGTCATTACCTGCACCCTGCGTTGTCATTAGACTTGTTATGACTTGTCAATCATTGCACTATGACTTGTCAGTGAATTTGCTGATATAAGTTGTCAACAATATGAATTCAGGTAACATAACTTTTTTTACCATCAAATGATATTTTCAATCATTTTGTCATATTATATTTTGGTTATATTGTCATATATAATCATTATTAATGAAGTGTTAAAAGCTTACCTCTTCCTGTCCCCTATCAATAGTGGCATTGTGATTTGTCAATGGTAGCACACTGACTTGTCAATGGAGCTCTGTGTCTTGTTAATGAGAACATTGTTCCTTGTCAATGGTGGCACTATGACTTGTTAGTAAGAACACTATCCTTTGTCAGCGGTCATACTATGACTTGTCAATAGAGTACTGTGACTTGTTAGTGAGAACACTTCCTTATCGATATTTGCACTATGACTTGTCAATGGAGTACTATGACTTGTTAGTGAGAACACTGTTCCTTGTCAATGGAGCATTGTGACTTGTTAGTTAGAACACTTCCTTGTCGATGGTCCCACTATGACTTGTCAATGGAGCACTATGACTTGTTAGTGAGAATATTGTTCTTTGTCAATGGTTGTACTATGACTTGTTAATGGAGCATTGTGACTTGTTAATAAGAACACTGTCCCTTGTTAATAGACACTTTTAGTTGTGAAAATTTTGAATATCAATTGTTAATATCCAGACATTCATTTGTTATGAAATTCTTATATCACTTGTCATTAAATTAGAATATTTATAAAACACTATCTCTTAATATCTTTGCACATATAAAACAGAAATGTGATTAAAAATATAATAAAACCCTAAGAAATTAGTATTACAACATTTGATGACAAAGGTAATAATATTATAAATATAATATGATCAGTTTGTTACAAAATGACCTGTATGCCAATCATGTTACAGCACATATCATGGGCTAACAAGACAAAAAATCAATAGACTACTCTATCTCCTCTTCTTGCTGTTATTGTAGTTCGATAGCATCGACATCGCTTCACTTCTATGTTCATTATTTGGATGGGTAACCAACTACCATAAACAACTAACCTTCAATTCTTGTAGTTTATCAGTGGAGTATCTTAGCATTGTATATCTTGTATCATCACGAACAGTGCCATCCCACTCTTGTAGCCAAGAGAGAACATGAACTCCACATGAATCACTGCTAAGGAAATTGAATATGTTAGCACCATGCAATTGTTATTGTGAACAAAAACAACATAACAGAATCAAACAAAACAACTACACTCACGTATCATTCTGCACATAAACTTTAGCCCATTTCACTTCGTTCTCAATTTTGTCCTCATTGGCAAACAATTCTGGCTTAATAGCACGTAACATCGTATGGAAACAATTCATCTGCAAAGAAAAAAAGAACACATAATCAAAAGGCTTCACTAACAACACAGCATCCAGTGACAAGGGACAGAGCATCTAGTGACAAAAAATACAGCATCCACTAACAAATAACATAGTATCTAGTGATAAGGGACAGAGCATCTAGTGAAAAGTAAAACAACATCCAGTGACAAGGGACAGAGCATCCAGTGACAACTACTAGAGTATCTAGTGACAACTAACAGAGCATGCAATGACAACTATGTAGGCCACTAGTGACAACTATAACAGTAGTCATTAACAAGTACAACAGCAGCAAATAACTACACACAGTCTGTGTTGCCATAAACTGTTTGGGATTGAAGTGCCTTTTATTTGTCCTCTTTTTCTTCTTCGCATCATGTTGTTGCTCACCCCCCTTCTTCTTTGCTTCTTCCTCCTCTGCTTGTAATTTCATGAATGTCATGCTATCAATCAAGGAGTCAAGGGCGTAGAAGGTCATGGTTTTTGTCTCCAAAACATAACAAAACTAGTGATCTTCAAATAACATAGGACTGAAGAGGAAATCACAATCCCCTATATTTTACCCAATATATTTAGGTAATATGTCCCTTTCATGGTCCTCTCATTTCCATCTTAAAGGATTGGCTACTATCTTTTATATGAAATTTGCAGAAAATATATGCTGGTTCACTCGCCCTTCTTTATCCTTTTGATCTCCAACAAATGTCTTTGCTACCATAGTCATAAACTGAAATTACAATACAAAGAAATTACAACTCTTTACCATCAAATAACTCATTCTAATGTTAACTATATACATGTGACTTATCCTGTCGTTTATCCATCTTCTACGTTGGAGACATTGCAGCTCACCATGGGTTAGGAAGTATCCATACATTGATATAAAGTATTTAACGCAAATGAAACAATTATTAACTCAGTAAATTCTGTAACATAATACAAATTTGGTCACGAAAACATAATACTTACTGCTCTTGCTCCTCTTCATTACACCTTGCTGTACACATGTCAAATAAAGCTTGCCTATCATCAATTATTCTCTTTTTCCCAGCCTTACTTTTAATTTCCAGAAATGGAGACTTAAGAGCTTTACCCTTACTTATCACCCTTGTTGATTTCCTCACATGTTTGTTCCTATTCCCTTGGTTGTCCTCATGCACTTCTTTGTCCTCTTCATCCTTTTCTTCTCTCTTATTTTCTTCTTCATCTTTTTTGTCCTCATGAACAACTTCTTTATCTTTGTCATCTAATTCTTGTCCACCCATCTCCTTTTCTGAGTGAGTTTCTTGTTCTTCTTCATTTCTATCATCTTCTAACTCAAATTCTTCTTCTTCATTTCTGTCATCTTCTTCCTCATCCTCTGAATCACTCCCCTTCACAACTTTCTCTTCTTCTGATTCAGATTCTTCTTCCTCATCTTTCTCCTCTTCGCTTACATTGTCACTATCCTTCGTTAGTCCTAACTGAAGGGCCATCATTTCCTCTCCCAGCATTGATACTAATCGAGCATATGTTTTTTTGATCTCCTATACAAATAAAATTCAGAACTTCAATTTGTAAGCAACAGCAAAAAAACAAAAAAAAATCATTAAGCCTACAAGTCCACATACTGGGTGAGTTAATTTTCAGGATCAAATTTGGTGGGTTGCTTAGCCGGATGCAATATTCCTTGATTGCTCTCCTTCTCCTCTTTAACTCTTTGCTGCGCTTTCTTTTCATCCCAATATGTAATAGCATGCATAACATGTGAAGCTTTTCTTTCCCCTAGTGGAAATTTTTGTAGACAATATATCTGCATGTGACAATGAATGATAAGTTAACAGTAGTCATTGACAACATTCAGACCATAAAATGACAATAGAAATATACAAATTATAATAGCACTTACTATTAGGAAGTATAGACAAGCACATTCTTGTCGACTATGCTATTTATTACTATCTATTTATTTTTGTCGACTATGCTATTTTTTTGTTTTGATTTTTTAATGTTATCTTTGGATATAGTTAATTGAATCGATTGATTATGGGATAAAATCATATATACCGGATCCATGTTAAAGATTTACTGTATCTTTAAAATTAACATTTTATACATTTAATGTCATTCTTTTTATTTTTTTTAATTACTAATCAATTCTTTCTGGTTCTACGTCCATTTCGGTTTTTAAAAACATTGGCAAGTATTTAAGATTTATTCACTTTCAATTTTTTTACTATAACTTCTCTCAATTGGTTATTCACTACTGAAAAAAAACAACTTGTTACTGATAGAATTAGCAGCAAGAAATTATTTCAAAATTTTAAATTTTATTATTTTAGATTATAATCCTACAACAATTTATATGATAACATAATTAATAATATAATGATCCAAATATATTTTTAATTTCAAATAAATTGGTATATTTATAGAGTTGGTGTTAATAAAGCTATCATCATCATCATTAATGTCATCATTAGATACTAACCAAGATAAAATGATGATTTGAAAAAAAAAACTTGTTTCAAGTTTCATTAAAATCAATTTCTTTCCATCATTAATAATAATTAAACAAATAAGATAAGGATATGAATAGCTTTCTTATGAAAATTAATATGGTAAAGATATAATTATATTAT